AGTCTTCTTCTTAGAATCGGCATTCTCTATTTACAATTCCATATATTTCAGTGAACTTAAATTCGACTTGGTATAGTTATAGCTGTTGGCATCCATAAACGCTAATACCATGCGACGAAAGAAACCACTCGAATTACGGTACAGAAATTCATAGTTTACTACCGGCTGAATAGAATAACTGGAGCCGGGTAACGAAATTAACACATGATTGCACTGTCAGGAATTGTATCAGAAAAACATAAAACGGGCACAAAGAAATCTTCATCCATCTAAAACTATCAAACACTTGGAATCTCACCGAAAGAACATGAATCGGGTGCGAAGAAATTGGTTAGTTTATATTTGCTTGCGAAAAAGATATTGGATTCGAACAGTTGCGCGGGATAAATCTTTGATGCGCTACTCGGGTTTGAGGGGTTTTGCTTCGTCGTATTATGACACGAATGTGTTAATTAAGTTCTAAAATTATTTATCGAGGCTTTTAAATGTAAGTTACTGTGATCTGATGCTTTGCATTGTTGAATAACCTGTCCAGACTGAAATAACAAATACTAGTACGTTATCATCAAGCTACGTACAAACAAGTGTATTTACTGTGGCAAAATATCATAGAACATTATTTGTGTAGTTTGTGGCCAAGATTTTCGTTGTGGGGGGGGGGTATCTGTGTCCAGAACAGTGAAGAGGTTATCTGTTAGCACAACTTATACTCAGAGTTCGAAAGATAATTACGTATTACCTGGTCGAACTACACGCATCATCCAAAACCTCGTTCGATGCTAATGATCGGCGTTCAAAAAGCATTATCCACACCAGAATTGCTGTTGTCATTGGCTTGGTTGAGTTGAAAGGGCCTTTGGCAATTAGCAGATGGAGATTGTGCTCTTAACTCTCCCTCCACCCGATGTGCTTTTCGATCCTTGCGTTCTGTCCTCACGTAAAAACTTATTTTCATGATCAAACTCTCAATTAAACATTGTATGCCGACGGTATGCTGCAGCTATGATAAGATAATCATCTGTTACTAGCAATCACTTACTTTAAGCATAAGGAAACACATATCTTGACCTGGCGACCTCCAATGCCGAAACAATGATGGACCCAACTAGACCACATTGCTATCATCCATCAGTGGGGAGACTACGTTGAAGACTGCTGTTCATTCTGGGGCACTTATTTAGGTTCAGATCCTGTTCTAGTGCGAGCGTGTCTTACTGGACCCAGGAAAAACCGCTAGGATACCTCTACTTGATGACAGCATATGTAAAAATATAGTTCAGGGACAACTAGGAAAACAGTTAGGCGGCCATGTAGGTAACTCATCCGGAGGCGGCCTGCAATCATATCCAAGAAGCTGTGTAAACAGCAATGATAACTGCTAGTAAGGTAAACCATACGGTTAAGAAGAAGCTATGAATCTCAGTTGCATCTACCGATCTGATGGATGCTCGAAAACTCATCCTGTCTGGCTATAAGCATGACGAATAGCGAAGTCAGCTTAGGCGCAGGTTGACAAAAAGGCGTACATAATGATCTCGAACAGCGCGAGAGCGACGGAAAAGGCAGCGGTGATAAACAATGGTAGACAACTGTTCCAACTTATCAAGGAAACCAGTTTTAGGAATCGTACTGTTTCGAAAGAGGATATTCTTATTATTCATTCTCAATCCAGGAGATTGAATCGATGAGCAAAACACTCCATGGATAAGTTCAACTGGCCTTCAGCGACACCACGATCTCCAGTCAACCTACATAGCAAATCGATGTAAGCACTGAGAATCTTTATGAATTTGAGAAATTCAAAACGAGTAAGATCAGTGGCTCCTGATAGTCTAACTCCTGGAATTCTTAAAGTAAGTGGTCCAGTTTCATCAGTTAAATCGGCTAAGATCTTAGGTTGAATTCGCGAACTGAGCATAATCCCATTTGACTGGTCTCGATCCCTGCTTGTCCCAACTTATAAGAAAGCACAAATGTCCTCTTGTGACAATTACAGATAAATCAGTTTAACTGATATAGTGCCCTAAATATTAGCCTAGATAATACTTAGACGCCCAACTAGGAATCGTGAAGAGTCAACTAGAGAAAGCCAGTCTGTTTTCAGACCTGGGTGTGGCTGTATAGACCACATACACAACGACATGTCCTAAAAACACACACACATTTCGACGTCCGACTATAGTTGTCCAGTGTCTGTCAATGAAAGGTGTACCAGGGAGGTAAATCAACCCTATATAAGCTCTCTACTCGAACACCACTAGTCGAGTTAGAGCTTATGGTGAACCGTCATCGTAATCGATTACTTCAAGTTGTGTCCGTCAGAGATGTTCGTTCTGTCCATTCTTGTTGAATTTTGTCAAAGACATGTTTATAGATATAACGTTATGTTCGTCTGTCGTTAGGAAACGAATGCTAGGTAAGGATGGAAGATCATTAGATGAAGTATTGAAAATTCATCAGTTGATGTGGTTGGGATATGTGTTACGAATGCCCAACTACCGACTGCCTCGTCGAGATATGTTTTGCGGTGTAGGAGTAGGTTGGACAAAAGCTAGAGGTGACCAAACCAAAACATGGCACGAATCCATGAAGTCACTGACTAGTGGACTGAGTCATGTTGGTAGGTGTCGATTACCTGCTTGGGTCCGCGAGATGATAGTTGGTAATCGATGTTTAGAGACCTTGAATGACATGACTCGAAACGTTTCGGAATGGCACAAGTACATCCACTTTGTTGCCCCTCTCAAATCATAATCTTCTGAATCCCTCATTACCTCTATCTTCTTCTTTCTATAGTTATCTCACTGAATTATACTTCTTGAATGGTATCTTGGAATTCAAATCTTCTCCATAACGGCTAATGCTTCTATTATCTCTACCACTATGGGATTTGAACTGACCTTTTTGTCTCAGTGCTAATGTGGTATGACAACATGAACTGATGTACGTACGTACGAATCTCTACGTTGTAACTGACTGAATTCAAGCAGTTAAGGGCTTTCCGAAACCCAATACCTATTAGCGAGACATTTTTCAATGCCATATTAGACTTTACTCCTTGCTTCCCTTACGTCATACAAATGAAGTCATTCCTCATTCTCACTTTATCGTTAAAAGGCAGCTGGTCTTCATCCTTGTCCGGTTTGATACATGATCGCAATGGAATCTGCAGAAAAATCCTTTCGCCTGTCTGTTTAGAATGAGTAGCTTGTAGGCCGCCGAAACTTGCTAATTTACTTACGCCTGTTACCCCCAATAGAGCATAGGCTGCCCACCAGTTTTCTCCAACCAACTCTGTCCTGGGCTTCCCTTTCCAGTTCTGTCCAATTTTTATTCATTCTTCTCATGTCTTTCTCTATTTCTTGGCGTAATGTGTTCCTTGGCCTTCCTCTTTTCCTTTTACCTTGAGGGTTCCAAGTGAGGGCTTGTCTTGTGACGCAGTTAGGTGCTTTTCGCAGTGTGTGTCCTATCCACTTCCACCGCTTCTTCCTGGTTTGTTCTCTCCCACAGTACGTTGTTGCTGATAGTGTCTGGCCAAAGAATCCGAAGTATTTTGCGAAGACAACTGTTAATAAACACTTGTATCTTCTGGATGATGGCTTTGGTAGTTCGCCAAGTTTCCGCTCCATACAGCAGGACAGTCTTGACATTTGTATTGAAAATGCTGATTTTTGTTTTGGTTGAAAGTTGTTTGGAGTTCCAGATATTTTTCAACTGTAGAAATGCAGCCCTCGCTTTGCCAATCCGCGCCCTGACATCTGCATCGGATCCACCTTGGTTGTCGATGATGCTGCCCAGATATGTAAAGGTGTTAACGTCTTCCAAGGCATCTCCATCAAGAGTGATTTGGTTGGTGCATGTTGTGTCGCATCGGAGAATTTCGCTTCTTCCTTCATGTATGTTGAGACCTACTGCTGCATAGGCTGCTGCTACACTGGTTGTCTTCTCTTGCATTTGTTGTTGCGTGTGCGATAGAAGAGCCAGATCATCTACAAAGTCCAGATCGTCCAGCTGCGTCCTAACTGTCCAGTTGATACCGTGATTCCCTCTAGACGTTGACGTCTTCATAATCCATTGGATCACCAGGAGAAAGAGAAAGGGTGAGAGTAAGCAACCTTGCCTGACACCGGTCTTCACCTCGAAAGAGTCTGTTAGCTGTCCTTCGTGTACGATTTTGCAGTTGAATCCATCATAAGAATTCCGTATGATGTTGACTATTTTCTCAGGCACACCGTAGTGTCGAAGAAGCCTCCATAGTGTTTTCCTATCCACGCTATCGTAGTCAATGAAGTTGATGTAGAGTGGTGAGTTCCATTCAATTGATTGTTCCACAATGATCCGTAATGTGGCAATTTGGTCACTACACGATCGATCCTTACGAAATCCAGCCTGTTGATCTCGAAGTTGAGCGTCTACGAAATCCTTGATTCTGTTTAACAATACCCTGTTGAATACTTTGCCTGGTATTGAGAGAAGAGTGATGCCTCTGTAGTTCTCACACTTGTTGAGATCGCCTTTCTTTGGTTTTTTGATGAGGTATCCTTCTTTCCAATCTGATGGTACTTGTTCGTCATCCCAAATCTTGAAGAGGAAGTGAAATATTTCCGCTGTTGCTTCCACATATGCTGGAATGGTGTCTGGTCCTGCCGGTTTGCCACTCTTGATTTGTCTGATGGCCATACTGATCTCTTCAATTGTAGGTGCGCCAACATCGATTGGGAGGTCCGTAGATGCTGCTTCGATGTTGGGTGGGTTCAGTGGAGCTGATCGATTCAGGAGTTCCTGAAAGTGCTCTACCCACCTATTTCGCTGTTCTTCAGTGTTGCTGATTACTTTTCCCTCCTTGCTTTTCACTGGTCGTTCTGGTTTCCGATAGTTTCCGGCGAGCCTCTTTGTTGTTTCGTACAATTCTCCCAAGTTTCCGTCTCTTGCAGCCTTTTCCGCCGTTGCTAGATCTTACACATATTTTCATTTGTCAGCTCTGATGCTGTTCTTCACTTCCCTGTTTACTTCTGTGTGTGCAGCTTGTGCTCTTGTTCGGCTGACATCGATTGCTGCCCTCTTGTTCCTCCTTTCTTCAATTTTTTCAAGAGTACCAACACAGATCCATTCCTTGCGATGGTGCTTCTTGCGACCAAGGACCTCCTGACATGTTGAAGTGATTGCCTCCTTAATCCCTTTCCAATTGTTCTCCAATGTTGTGTCCTCTCCATTGAGTAGATCCTGAATGGCCTGGAACCTGTTGGTGAGGGCTATCTTGAATTCGTTGATTTTTACGGTATCCCGAAGAAAGGCCGTATTAAACTTCTGTAATGTCGTCTGTCCCGTTGTCCAGTGCTTCTTTAGCTTCAGTTTCATTTTGGCTATCAGCAAATGGTGATCTGAAGCTATATCAGCTCCTCTCCTGGTTCTCACATCCTCCATGGTCCTTCTGAACGTTTTGTTGATACAGATATGGTCAATTCAGTTTTGAGTAGTGTGATCCGGTGAAATCCATGTAGCTTTGTGTATGCGTTTGTGTGGGAATATTGTGCCACCGATGACCAGTTTGTTGAAGGCACATAGGTTTGCAAATCTCTTACCGTTTTCGTTCCTTTCTCCCAGTCCATATCGTCCCATGATATCTTCCTATCCAATGTTGTCCAAGCCAACTTTGGTGTTTAGGTCTCCCATCAGAATGGTCAAATCCTTTTGCGAGCATCGGTCGACGATTGACTGCAGCTTCTCGTAGAATTGGTCCTTACCGTCGTCATTGTAGTTGTTGGTAGGTGCATAGCATTGGATGACGTTCATTGTAATGTCTTCTTTCTTTGTTTTGAAGGATGCTTTAATGATCCTGGGTCCATGAGATTCCCATCTTATCAGTGCCTTTTGTGCTTGTTTGGACAGCATCAATGCAACTCCTTGTGTATGTGAAGCATTTTCCTGTTCATGACCAGAGTATAACAGCAGTTCCCCTGAAGCTAATCTCAGTTGTCCAACCTGTGTCCAATGCGTTTCACTGATGCCGAGCACCTCGAGGTTGTATCTTTTCATTTCTGCCGCAACTTGAAATGGTCTTCTGGTCGCGTACAATGTACGAACGTTCCATGTAGCTAAAAGAATGGTTGCTGTGGTTGTCAGAAGAGGCATCGGCCCCGTGACTCCTGAGGGAACTCGGCTTTCATCACGCGACGTCATAATTCTTCTTCGAACTCCCATGGCAGAATTAAAATGGTTTGAATTATTTTTTTCTGGTTGGCGTTTTTGGGCATGTCAGTTTATAGTTGGAATGGGGTCGCCAACCCCATGCCCAACCCTCCTCCTTTCCCTGGGCTTGGGACCGACAGTAGCCCCGAAGTGTCTACAGGCGGAGTTAGGCCGCCGAAACGTAAGATAAAATTGAAGCAAACCAGAACACGATCAGAGTCCAGATTAGTATTTCAGAAGGAATGGCAGTCTTGTACAGAATCACGCCAGCAGTGTCTGATCGCGATGTGATCACTTGCAGAGGAAGGGTGCCTAGTAGCATATCGGCGGTGACTGTGCCAAAAGTCGTTGCTTACCAGAACTATGTTATATTATATTCAGTGCTGCAGCAGACGGTCGATGCTATGTGATCTGCTACTGTTGAATCCTCACTGGTCACTGAGACGACTCTCTTGTGTCTAAATTTCAACCCTGCCCATAAAAATCTGCTACTAGCACTGCAGCACCAGTCAGATGAGCTTTCTTGAGACCATTCGATCGGTGACAGAACGCATCTTTGATTTCATCCAACTACAGTATTGAGGATTAGTTGTTCTAACGAATTATATCAAGCAGCTTAAAAATAATCAGTCACTTAGCAACAACTTAACATGGTCATACATAAATGTGTTATTTAGAGTTGACGTATTAAGCATCTTTATCTTCGTCACTATTATTCACTTTTTTAATACACTAATGTGCATATTCCACCTTATTGGAAAAGAGTATCTGTAGTTTTTTCCTACAACAACGTTGGCTACGCATAACCTAATTAAGTATCTGATTTGAATGGTGGCATAAAAATCAGCTTTGTTGTTATCAATAATAACTACAGCATTTGGACTATAAATGTAATGTTATTATGGTGATAAAAATATGTTGACGAAATAACTATCTCAAGACACTTCTAGTCTTTAACCAAATTTTGGTTTCATTGAAATTTACACGATTCCTCAAACTACGCTGTTACAAATTAATATCCCTTTAACTACCTGTTTTTTTTATGTTTAGGAGTGCGAAAAAACCAAAATTACCTAGTTTAAACCTTCGTGGCAGTTCAAGTAGACATGATTGGGATTCTGTCGGAACAATCAAGTTTTTCACTGACAGAGATGGGGATATTAGTGGTTTGGATGAGGCGATGCGAACCATCAGTATCGGCAATCGGCAGTCTGGAGAAGCGAATCTACACCCAGCATCCTCAAATGTAGGTTATTAAATGACTATATATATGTATATATATCCTCTCCGGGTTATTGAACCAAGTGATTTAGGTGCTGCAGACAAGCATTTGGTAAAAGCACAAACTAATTACCACTTAATCTGAAAAAATTTGGTTGCTAATTTGAGTGTTATCAGACTACTTATATAATTCAGTAGCGTACTAATTTTTACACGTAAATATGTTGTGTGATTATTTCTCGACTCATCTATATTTGTTTTTACTATTTCCCCAAACTCACCTAGACAAACGACAATGACTCAACATCATATACTGGATATAATGATGAGTTTAATGAACAAAATAAATTGGATGTAGAAATTGCCGTTGAAGCAACAAGCATTTCTGAATTGTCTAGTCCTGCCGATAGGATTGATTCAGCTGAGTTGACTGAAGCAACTCATGATTATGGTGATAAATTAAATTTAAGTCAACAAACAAATGAATCGCTTGGTGTTTTTCCATTCAATAACGATTCAGATACAAACTCTGGTGTTCTTCTAACTTCTGTTGACGGTTATGGGATTACTGACAGACATAATTCATTGCACCTAGATGAGTAAGTTTTTCGTTTAAGTTGTTACGTAGCTCAATCAAAATCGAACATTGTAAAAGGTTTTGACATTATATCCTGAGTGGTGATCGAAACGATGTCTTGGAGCCATAGATTTTATTTGTGTTTGGATTCATTAGCAAATTTTTTGTTCTGTAGCTAATCACTTATAGTGATATCCGACTTTGCATTATTCACTAGCACAGTTTTAAACTGTCACATCGTCATATGGGAGCTTTATTATTTGAGTGAACACAGAACTAATCCTTACTTGCATATATCAATGACCGTATAGTAACAGACAGAATAACTGTGCTTCGGCATTGATAAATATTTATGCAAACTATAACTCACGAAACAAACATGGAAAAAATTAGTAATTCATGTAGAATATGAATATCTCAAATATCGAGCATGTGATCTTATCAATCTGCATGATCACTTTTTACACATCATCATCATGTGGTGTAATTAGTTCACTAACATTATTCTGCATAGTCATGATTATACCATCAATTATTTTTTCTTATATTTATTGCTAATTTTGTGGTCATTAACTCATGAGTATGGTGAAAGTAAAACATTGGTTCACTGAGAGGTGATGTTTTATGATTCAAGATAGTAGTTGAATGCCTACTAAAGTACCACTATCATTTTATCTTCTTATTAGGTTTCTTCGATAATGCTCAGGCTTTAATTTTGTTTATTACTGATTACATTAAGCTGTTAGCTGATGTAAGAAATAATTAATTCCTCGTATCTATTCTCACTTTATGATTGATCATAGATTTGTTCCCAATTATTGATTTATAGCCAATTTAAACAAACTCAGTCGAAATTCATATAGAGTGATTAGTCTTTCAATAATCGCACCATTACAAGCTTTAGCCCCAAAATGCCCTAGTATGGCCTTCATATTTGGTGGCCGGCAATTCTTTACATGGAAAGTCTTTTCTAGTTGTATTGTTAACTCAACTACTTCTCCCATTTCATTTACTCTTATTCAGTGGTTTTTATTCGCTAATTTCTTGATATATTTTACTTCACTTTTTCTATGCTTTCGCAATCTCATTTTCTTATTGTATGGTGTGTATGTTCTTCGATGTCTCTTTGTAATAACTAAATATCAACAGACAATTCAATTTCGAAAATGTCAAAATTATCTACGCTTTTGTCGAAGTTGTAGAGCTCATAAGTTTTGTTTCAACAAACCAATGCATCTGAAGGTATATTATGTTATTGTTTTCCTACGGTTATAGCCGTCGGCAAGATATCTGTTCGCTAACCAAAGGATGAGCCTAATGCAAAGCAGTTCGATATTCCTTTATTATTTACAAAGTGGGGTTTTAAATCAAACAAACTTCGGAAAGCTGATCGTTTCATAAAATATATACAAACAGCAAGAACAAAGACTTGATCCGAATTGTATGAATTCGTTTAATTTCGTTCAGTTCTCGTCAGCTGCTTACAACCTGTAATAGTTAAAATCATAATTGCAAATTAGGTTTAAATTACCTACATGAAGGGGTTTAGTCAGAAGTTGCTATGGTCACACATCAGTATGGTATAGCAAGGGTGTAAACAATTTTAATAAGCTGAACCAGAAATGATTGCTCACCAGACAATACATTCAGTGGAAATGTAAAGGAAGCCAGAGTAACATTAATCAAAATAAGCTCACTACTGCGCTCAGCAGAAGTCAGAGCTCACAAAAATTGGAATAGTGAATTCTCTAATGATCTACATTTGAATCAATGAGCTTAGATCTATAGTCCTCAGGAAAAACACTAGAAAAAACTCAGAATGGTCGGCAATACCGCAATGTGAGTCTTGGTCTGAACAACAAGAAATAAGTTGCTGTTGACCAACTTCATAATATAATAGCGCTATCTAATTTTGCGACGAAAATGTTACAAAATAGGCTCAACCTATGGAGTGACGCATACAAAAGGCAAAATAACCTTATGGTGAGGTTTTTACGGAGTTGCATACAACAACCAGATCACAACAGAAAAGCCTACACTAAAAAGTGTTCCAGGCAACCTAATCAAGACATTGCATACCTTAATGGCAAGATCCCACCTAACTGGATCAATAATCCGATTGGCATCAAAATTAACAACTCCGAAGAATTCAGACTACAAATGGTTGGAAAACGTCAACTTGTCCACAAATGCAAGCTTCAATCGTCTATATGCTTATCATCAAATAAATGAACAGATATATGCGAAACGACCAATCAGCAAAATCTGATGCAGAAACCTACAAATGCTCACTTGACGGCTGCGACGAAACATAAGAGACTATTAGATGGCTAAGATGGCACTTTTAAATATGCCATCTCTAACATCTGCGGTCTATACCAGCTAATGACACCCATAAACAAGAAACCCAAAAAAATCCAAATGTAACAGACAAATTACACCATCACCCATTCAGTGGATGTACAAAGAAACTATCAACAAACAAAGGAATAATCGGTCACTGCAATGTGGTACACCAATCATCGGCCATGACTGAACAGGAAATAAGACCGAAAATCAAGAAACCTGCAATAACAGCTATTGCTCCCCACTAGTTGTGTCATGCTTTCATATATGCCTCTTCTTTAAAAGAGCCTACCAGCTTTACCAATTCCGTTTAACTATGAAGGGTGACAGACTAAATAAAATGTTGTAAATTTATACGTCATGCAAAAGAACATGAGTTATGTGTTCAAAAAGAGATGGTTGCTAGTGTTTCTTTGCCTTGATGATAAATATCCCTTCGTTACATAATATTTTGTTCAGCTTTTCTTTTCAATTAATTGCGTCATAGCGTCTTTTTATTTCGACCGTCTTCTAGATTAGTTACCTTATTTTAACTAAAGGAGCTAACTCATTTTATTTTTATTTATTATCAGCATTTAATAATTACGTAACCACGTGTTTCAAGCCCTTTGGGCCCTTATTCAGTCTCTTGCCCCTCCCAGGGTAAAGACCAACTTGTACTTCCACATAGTGCTCCCTAAATAGTGGGACTCAGTCCCATGAACTAACACAAAGAGCGAATCGGTTGGAGGTCGGGCCAACCTTCCACTCTGTCGGTACCCACCAACGATTACGAAGCATCCAAGAAATCAATGGACAGTTTTCACGAGTGATGATGGGTGTACGTGGAGAGGAAAGTTACTCCAAATATTTTCTCTTCAAAAAACTCCCGGTCAAAATGACGAGAAAAAAGAATAAAAAATCAAAAATACTAAATGTTGGTCTATGGAACGCCCGAAGATGCGCACAAGAAAGCAAGCTCCACAAAATGTCCATCCAGTTAAGTGAACACACAGCAGTCTCAACCAAAGCGAGATCATCTGAATAAATCAACGTGGATAAACATACTGTCTCCCATAACAGCAACTTAGACATTAAGGACTACCGGAACGTATGTCGAACTCTACATAAATATCTGATGAGAGATGACATCATTAGATTTCACAGAAATGAGTTGATAAATAGCTAAAATCCAATTATACAGCCATAGAAAAGGCTTTAAAGTAGTGAACATATTTATAGACAAACTAACTTCCAAACGAAACACCTGGATCCATCCAGGTTTCTCTGCAAGCCGTATAATCGACTTGATACCAACTGAACATAAAAAGTCAACTAAGCATTGAAAGGCAAATTATGTAAGCGTGTATGATTGTAGTTTTCTGCCACAATTTATTTTTAAATTTGACTATGCAACCTAATATATTGTAGTTTGGTGAAGTGAATATAATTTGAGATTATTTAATTAAGTCATGTATTGATTAATTGATTAATATTTTTGAGTTTTATTTAAACTATCGATTTTAAAAACAACATAGTCAATAATGCACAGAAATCGTTCGCCTGAAGTGTTTCACATGGTTTTATTAACATTTTTTCTATTTTAAATTCAGTACATGTATGATCCTTGTACTTCTTTCTGTTGTCCGTATTATTAATGATAATCTCGCTGAACGAACTTAATGGTAGTTGTAAGATTCATGTGTAAGCGATTTGGATGAGATCATATTTTTTTTTAACTCATCTGCATAATTAACATGTTATCCACTGAGTTACGAAGTAAATATAACCACGAGTATTATGTTTGTGCCTTTCTAAGTAAGATTTTGAATCATTCCATTGATACTGTGCACAGTTTTGCCCAGTATTTGCTGCCATATCCGCACCCTATGCGGAATGCTTTGATATATCCATTTTGCTACAACTGATGTAGAATAGAATTGAGATAATTAGCTGAATTAATTCAGACTACCACTGAAAACCTGAAAGCACTTGACCCGTTTCGTCCTAGCATGGGATGTCTCAGATGTGCTTATCCATGACCGCACACACAAAAAAAAGTAGAAAGAAGAACATATGGGCTGAATTTGTCTAGCATTTCAGCTCTTTCCAAATCATTAAACTGGCATGTTCAATTTTTAGCGTTTGAAACCAATTTTCAGTGTTTTATCAAAGCGCGTTACTGATTGTTGTGACTGATACCTCACTACTATATATGTTATTTAACGGCGCATTTATGAGTTAACGCAGCAAATCACAAGTCTTAGTTTTTGTTATAAACTAATCACATGATTAGCACAGTGTGTTTTTATACCTAGTATCGTTAAGATAGTTTTGTCACTGCTGTCTCTTTCCATACTTTTTCTGAGTGTTAGTTGATAATTGGGTAGTTGCTATTCACCTTTCTATTATTTGTGCACGTGTGTAGAGTTATCTTTGTGTATTTATCCAAATGTTGATGATTGACTAGTTACGACAGGGTGGAGTGTTTGCTTGTGTATGTGCATACGTATACATATGCATATACACACGATCAAATTTATGTTTAATAATATTATTTCATTGTTGGCAATCGCTTTGGATAAGTTTATGAGGTCATTCTCATCGGTTCAATATATATATATATATATATATATATATATATATATATATATACGTGATATTTATATATATATGTATATATATCACGTAAAAATC